AATTAGCCAGGTGTGGTGGCACACCTGTAGTCCCAACTACTAGGGAGGCTGAGGCAGGAGGAGTACCTGAGCCTGGGAGATGGAGGTTGCAGTGAGCTGAGATTGTGCCACTTCACATCATCTTGGGTGACACAGCAAGACTCTGTCTCAAAAAAGACTCCCCAACTAGACAATGACAAATTAGGAACAAACTATTCTATGGAGGGGGGTGGAAATCAAGGACATTCGCCTCTACAGGCCTCTGGACTCTAAGGCATGTGGCCACATGGATCCAGACATGCCAACAGACATGACAATAAACATGACTTTCAATTACCTTATAAAGTAATGAAATTGCTTTAGTATCTGTGTTCCCTAAGCACAGTTTTTTGTTTGTGTTTAATTTCTACGCAACTCTTGCTTGGTAATTTTACAAAAAGCCCTCAATTCTTACAACTTTTGTGCCTGCAGGACTTGGTTCCAACACTTCTCAAAAGATAACATTGAAACTCTTCTTGGTTTATGGAAGAACATTAAAATAAGATGTTCGTAAAGCCGAGCTAATTTTTTAAGCTAATATTAATACTAGGTGTTAAGAGATAAAGGTGATTTTTTTAAAAGGTAGAGAAAATGCAAAGGTAAGTGTACTATGAAGATAAAACATTGATTAGATTACTGGTTTGGGGGGGTTTTATAAACAATTTTATTTTCTGATACAAGACAGAAAACAATGACTTTTTGCCTTCCTTTAGTAGTCTACCTTGACAGAAAAAAACATAAATAAGGGTAAATAAAATTCAGTTCTTAACTAAGTCAAATGTTAGTTCTATATATAAAATTATTTTAGCTACACAAGATCCATACCGGCTTCACAATCCATTATTGGGCGGACAAAAACCTCACTGAAAGAAGAGTTAAAAAGATGACCCTATAAAATTAATTATATTATCCGAAGTGTTTAGCAGACAAAAAAAAATTAAATTAATTCTAAATTGTACTTACCAGAGAACTGAATAATTTTTAAAAACTTTTAAAAACAAGATTTTTAAAAATGCAAGTAGAAGAAAAAGGCAAAACAAAAAAGATTATTTGTGTCAATAATTTCCCTCAAAAATACTGCTTAAAACAAGCTGCATTGATTCTCATCTTTTTTTTCTTTCTCAGACATTTCATGAAGAAGCACAGAAATGACCAATGTGTTACACTCAGGACAGATGGGAAAAGGGGTATCAAAAGGTATGAAATGTGAAAATTAAGAACATAAGTTCATCAATAAAGTTGACTCTTTTAACAGAGAGTCATCATGGATGTCCTAATTTTATAGACTACGGAGAGGTGTGCTATAAAAAGTAAGATTAAAATACATGATTTTGGCCAGGCGTGATGGCTCACAGCAAGGCAGATGTATCACTTGAGTCCAGGAGTTCAAGACCAGCCTGGGCAACCTGATGAAACCCCATGTCTACAAAAAGTACAAAAATTAGCCTGCCATGGTGGTGTGAGCCTATAGACCCAGCCACTCGGGAGGCTAAAGTAGGAGGACTGCTTGAGCCTGAGAGGTCAAGGCTGCAGTGAGCCATGATGGCACCACTGCACTCCAGCATGGGCCACAGCACTGTCTCAAATAAATAAATAATTAAATATATATCTACATGATTTTATTCACATACTGAAGACCATTGAATTATTAGTTTTTAAAAAGTTTTACCTACTCTTGGCTGGGTGCGGTGGCTCACACCTGTAATCCCAGCACTTTGGGAGGCTGAGGCAGGCAGATCACGAGGTCAGGAGTTTGAGACTACCCTGGTCAATATGGTGAAACCCCATCTCTACTAAAAAAAGGAAAAATTAGCCGGGCGTGGTGGCGCACACCAGTAGTCTCAACTACTTGGGAGGCTGAGGCAGGAGAAATGCTGGAACCCAGGAGGCAGAGGTTGCAGTGAGCCCAAATCACGCCACTGCACTCCAGCCTGGCGACAGAACGAGACTCTGTCTCCAACAAAACAAAACAAAACAAAAAAGTTTTACCTACTCTTGCAATACTCATTCAATAAGACAGATGTGAAAATTTTATCTGAATTCTTGTAGATGGGCTAAAATCTACATAAATATTCCTTATCACATGTAGATTCTTTTGAAATGAAAATATTTAACAGACCTGAAACTTTGCAATGCCTCAAAAGCACTCAACTTTTCAAAAACAAACAGAAATATTAGCCACAGGTCATAAGGCATTACAAATATGCAACACAAAAAAGCTGCACATTTCATTCCACTAGATATGTCCTGAGATATAAATCTACATAAAATGTTTTATAGTCATTTAAAAACTACATCAGAAAAAAATTATATCAGAAAACATTAAGCACTCACCACTCATTTTCCCTATTCTTCTGTCCAGTTAGTCATATTAATCCAAAATAACAATCCAGTAACTAAAAACAAATACTTCAACTAAACACTAAAGACTGAAAAAAAAAAAAAAAAAAAAAAATCACATGGCAGTAGAGAGGTCAGACCTTCTGGGATATAACCACCTTTTCTTCTGAGATGTTTCATCACTCAAAACTATAAACTATGGATAAAGACAGTTTCTTCTGTCAACCCCTTAACTCCCAAATTCACTATTTTAGGACCCACAGTTAGTGACTCTGCTAAGAACATACCATGCTCTTTGCTACATTATTACCTCTGCACATGAAATGTCCTAATTCTGAAGAAGCTGCATTCAGTCAACTACACATCTCTCAGTCACCATCTCTCCCCTCCCTACTTCGGAACTTTCCAGGGCCTGCCCAACTATCCACTTCCTCTACCCAGCCATAGTTCATTGTTCTGGCTTGGTGTTTCCACACGATGCAAGACACAAAACTGAATTTTAAATGATTTTTAAAACTGCTCTCTTATTCTGCTTCCCTGATCATGTTCTTACTCTGCTTAAAACTCTTTAGTAATCTTCACACAGAAGAGAAGTGCTTTTCAAATTACCAGTTGCTACCACAGCGTCATTAAATAAATTGAGTGGGTCACCATCATCAGTCTATCTTAAAAATAAAATAGAATGGAACACAATAGAAACTACCAGAGTGCACCACACAAAGCAAGGGTATTATGTAGTGACATTTTATCATTTATATACAAGCATATTGGGTTGCAATGTAAAGATGCTTATCTTTCCAAAGGGTCATAGCCAAAAAACCTCTAAACACACTAGACTACAGGATAATCCAATCTTTCATTTGATCTACATGGCTCTCCAACCCAGCCCCTGCGTAATAAGGCTCTAGACCTATCTCTTGCTACACCAAAGGGAGCTGGCTCAAGCAAACAAGCTTGTCATGCCAAACTCATTTGCAGTGCCTCGTTTTAGTGGTGTCAATCACTGTTCCCTCTGCCTTGAATGCCCTCTAATTTTTCTAAGAGGCTCACTTGTACTCATCTTTCAGTATTTAACACCTATCACCTCCTCTACAAAGCCTTTTTATCCTTCCCTCAGCAGCTAATGCCCCAATACCCACTTTGTGTCTCCACAATGCCCTATATTATAGCTCCTACAAAATTTCATTGCACATTTTAATTTTAGGCTTGACTGTCTTCCCAACTTCTAAAGTATAAACTCACTAAGGGAAGGAGTACATTGTACTAGCCTTCCTATCGGCAGCACTGAGCTAAGTACGTGCACTATAACATAGGTTCGAAGTTGGTAAAATGAACAAATGAAGAGTTAAGGACTTGCATCTAACTTGTCTGTTGTCAGAAATGATAGGGTGGTTATCTTTGCAATAAAACCCCTTCATAGTGCTGGAATCAAGATTTTCACATTTTTGCTACAACCCCTAGAGAGCAGAACCCTGCAGTTTGAGGCAGAAGGAGGTGTCAGCTTCCTGTCTTTCAGCAAAGAGACTCAGTTTGGGCTGCAATGTAGCAGCACTCATTTCCACGCTTCCAGAAGTTACCTGGGGAAAGAGGCCGAGGAAGGACTCCAGAAGTTCCCACAGGCAGGTGAGGTAAATCAGAAACAGCATTAACAGATTTCATTAGCAGGGAGAGCCCTATTTTATTTATAAGCAGCTCTTAATAAGAGAAGGGAGGGAAAGAATTCTTTACCATTGCTGATGGCACAAGGTTACCAATATGAGCTAAGTAAAAACAAAGGGTGTCGTGAAATAACTGTTTGAGGTTACTTGATTTCTGTTGCCTACTCTAATAGTTCTGAAATAGCTACTGATTCACTGCTGTCATTATGAGATACTATTTGGAGGTGGGGGGTGGGGGGTGGGGGTCATACCTAACAGGGGCTTCTCACAGAGGTTTCAAAACTTTTCAGAGACTTCATTTTATATATGTGAATGCCTTAATTTTTAGGGGATGTGATACACCTATTTTACAAACCCATACTTTAGTTGCCTTCACTGCAATTAACAGTTCATGCAACATCCAAGATACTTTGACAGACTTTGCCAACTGTCAAGTTTCAGCTGTTCTTTTCCATTTCCACAAAGTTCATAAACTACTATTAGGGGAGCCATAATTTTTTTCTGCCCAATCACTGATTTTATTAAAAATAATTCCTTTGCTTAGACTGCCCCTAGACTTGCAATAATTATCTACAATTAAGACAAAGATAAATCCTTATCATAACCTAACATTAGTTTAAAAAAAAAAGTTGTAATATATGAAACACTTTACCCAGAGTATTAAATGTTAGATATCTATTACAGCAAGGTAATTAATGATTGCTAAGGTAAAGCTTTAAAGGCCATTTAAAGCCCTGTTTCCTTTTGTTTGAAATAGGCCCAGGCAGCTATGCGAATTCCACAAACATTTATTAGGCATAAATACGCATAAAGTGTAGAAACATCAGCAAATGCCTTTGCTTTGCTGTACGCTCTTCTACTTCCACCTACCCTTCCTCTCTCAACTCAGATAAAACAAGGCACTATCAATGAGAAAGGGTAATAGCCCCAAACACAGGCTTTCCAAAAAATAGCACCACAAAATGCTCGCTCCTTTTTCTCCTCAGTCCATATATAGGACTTTATTGACTAAAGGACAGATACATTCATTTATAAACAAATTAATTATGCTAAGTGTCTAAATACATGTTATGTGTGGGGCTTACTTTCCCATTTTAAACAGTAGCCCCTTCAGTATTAAATTCATCCTGTCTCTTCCGGTTCTAGGCACTTCAGGAGCCATAGCTTAAGGTGCAAACATAACCAAGACCAACAACCACACCACACACAACCAGTCCTGAAAATGGCACAGAAATGGTATCAAGAAATCCCAATCACAAAGATACGAATCTCTTAAGGGGGTGGACCCCAAGTTCCTGAGGAACATGCGATTTGCCAAGAAACACAACAAGAAGGGCCTAAAAAAGATGCAGGCTAACAGTGCCAAGGCCATGAGTACATGTGCCAAGGTTATCAAGGCCCTCATAAAGCCCAAGGAGGTTAAGCCCAAGATCCCAAAGGGTGTCATCCGCAAGCTCAATCAACTTGACTACATTGCCCACCCCAAGCCTGGGAAGCATGCTCATGCCCGCACTGCCAAGGGGCTCAGGCTGTCCTGGCCAAAGGCCAAGGACAAGGATAAAACCAAGGCCCAGGCTGCAGCTCCAGCTTCAGTTCCAGCTAAGGCTCCCAAAGGTGCCCAGGCCCCTACAAAGGCTTCAGATTAGATATCTGTCTGCCAACGTGAGGACAGGACTGGTGCAACCCCCAACCAGGCTGCCACCTGCATGGGGCTGGGGTCCTCCTGTGCTATTTGTACAAATGAACCTAAGGCAGGAAAAAAAAATTCAGCCTAAGCTTCCCTTGGTAAAATGACAGGCATTCATGCAGCTTAAAGGTTGTGGAAAACTGATTTTCTTCCATGATGCTACTACTCCACAGTCTAGACAAAATGCAGCCATCAACATGAAAAACTGCTGCTTGATTTTTTTTTCCTCCAACATGTTTTAAACAGAGCTGCAGATGCTCAAGGGAAGCCATATTTCTAAGGTTTTGAACAGTAGTATTTTTCAGTATTTTTCTCATGTAAAATTGGTGCAATTCATCCAGAACATTTTTCAAATGCCATTATTTTTCAGCGTTAAGTGCTTAAACTGCTTAGAGAGAAAAAGGTCTCCATCAGAAAGATCGACTTCCAGAAACCAACTAGTGATCATTAAAATGAGGAGAATAAAAAGAAAATAATTCATTTTTTACAGTTTGAAGAAATCTTTAAGTCATCTCTAATTCCTTCATTTTACAGATAAGAAATAGAGTCCACAGAGGTTAAGCAATTTGCCTCAGATCACTAAGCTACTAATAGCAGCGCTAGAAATAGAATGAGGCATTTTAATTACTCTTAGCAGTACCCCCAAATCATGCAAGTTATATATACTCTCATCACTTGTCATTCAAGTTTTTAAAACAATTATCACTTTGTCATTCATTTCTGAGGAAAGTCTCCTACAACACGTTCTAAATTTTCAAAGTTATGCATATTAAACTTCAAATTCTAACTCCAAAAAGAAGGTACTATTCAGGAACTTTCCTCAGAAAGTTTCAAGCGTGTGTACACCCCTAAACCATCACAATGAATTTCAGAGTCCATTCTTTCAAAACCTGTCCCTCAACTACACTTTAGATGTGTTTGTTCAACGACACACACACACACAAAGAGAGAAAATTCTGGATGTTCTTCCGCCAAAAACCAATGACAATCTGTCAATGAAATCAGATTACTCCATTAATATATTATGGGTTTCCAGCTTAAATTAGGAAGTGTCACTAGCATTTCATCAACCCACAGTGTGAAGAGTTAATAAAAGACTGGAAAATGCACTCTCGGTTGGTTCTGGGTCCGAAGGAAGGTGTAGATCTGATATTGTTAACACAAACTGAAGGGCTGAGCTTAAAAGCGAAAAACAAAAGGAGTGAACAAGTTCCTTAAACAAAAAGCCTTTTCGTACGGAATGCACCCGCACCGTGGTGACCGCATCAGTAAGACTGAATTTCAGATTTTCGTTTTAACGTCCCAGTAAATCAATTCTATACATTTTAGCTTTGGATATTCAAGGGCAAAAGAGAGGGCACCGTGAGGGCAACAATTTACTCTGGATCACTTTCAAGGACTGTTGTCTAACCACTCATTACAATCGTTCCTTTGTGCAACTGATTATCTAAAAGTACTGAGAGAGTGTAGTACTTCTCTTTGAAAGATAACCATCAGCAAAAGCTAAGACAATGTGATTCTGATGACAAACTGATGCAGCAGTCTGACCAGTAAAGTGTAGAATGCGTTGTCTTTGTAAATATTACTCACAAATCCATATTCAAGTTACAAACGATGTATGTGTTTACGACCTCTGGTACCGCTCTACAAAAAGGCAAAAATAACCTAAAAGGTTAGCATGCCTATTTCTTTAAAGTATGACCAGCTTAGCAAGGTGGCAAGTTTGTTTGAAAACACAAAACGCAATCACCACCACCGCTCAATAATACACATTCATGAACAGATTCGAAGCTGTGTTAAGCACAAAAATCCTTACCCCATTTTGCCCAATGAAAACTTGCTCTGAAGTTTCAGCTCTTATGCTACGGAATAACTTCCAAAGGAATTTCTCCGTCTGCTATTTCGCAGTTGATTTTCCACCCCCACCCCTAGATCCTTGTCCGGAGGTATTTCAAGGATGCTGCCAATTCAATTAGTTCTCTTAGGTAAAATGATTTCTTTCTTGTAAATACCAAAACGTTCAAACAGAGGCGGCATTTGCTTATTCGAGTTAAAACGCTTTGCGGAGGAGACAGCGATCAATTCTATTCCACAAAACGAGTCTACAAGTAGGAAAATGCAGAATCCGGCTTCACCGAGTCCTATAAAAAAATGAGTTCGCTGGTCATTTCACTCATGTCCTCCTCGACACTCAGGGAGAGCCAGGTAACTCGGCCTTTTCAGAGCTAAGGCTGCGGGTTCAAATTTCTCCACCACACCAGGTCCCCGGGGGTGGAGCGAGCAACCAAACGCGACGTGCACGTGAATAAAAATCCCAAAAGCAGTAATGCCACGGCTTCCCTGCGCTCACATTAGGAAAAAAACTACATAGAAAAATCTCCTCGAAGTGCAAATCCGGCAGCTCCCAACCTGCACGGCACTCCACATTGGAATCTGTCTTTTTTAATGTTTCTTCTCCTAAGACTCGGAGCAGAGAAGAGGTGGGGAGGAGGAAGAGAAGGCTGGGCAGGATCGATTCATTCTCCCGAGGAGAATAAACGGAGCCATTTCCAGGCTGGCAGCAGGCTGGGGGCGCAGCGCACGCCGGGGAGCTGGAGAAGGGGGCCCGATCCCACCTCCCTCAGCCCCTTCCCGCCCCCCGCCGCCGAGCACAATGGAGCCCGGCTCGCGCCCGGCCCTTCATTCGCGGCTGCCCCCTCTTCCCTCCTCTCTTCAGAGCACAGCGGATCTGAGGCTCCCGTCGGCGGAGAATGAATGAATCACAGAGCCAAGCCCCACGCTTCCACTGGCGCCCTGCCCCCAGCTCCAGGGCGGGCGAAAGGGGCCGAAGGGTCGACGGGCGCCTGCCCGAGCCAAGGCGGGAGGCTAAGACCGCGTCGGGGCCAGGAGAGCTGGGCTCGAAGCCGAAGCGCAGCCGCCGCTCCAGCGCCCCCACCCCTGCTCCTCGTCTCTCACGCTCCGCGCCGCCGCCACGCGCCGCCTCACATTCCCCGGGCCCCGCCGCCGCCTCTTCACACTTCCATCAGCGCCCGCCTCCGCCGGCCTCCGGCTCCCGCCGGGCAGAGCAGCGCCAGCCCCGGCGGCCTGAAGCCCGCTGCTGCCTCCGCCTGCACCGGCCGGCTGGCAGAGCGGAGGGTGCTGCTTTCCCAGTCAGCGCCGCCGGCGTGAGGCGAGCGCGGAGGCAGTGGGCTGCGGGGGGCGGGAAGGGGGCGGAGAGAACGGGGGGGCGAGGGCGGTACCTCCCCCTGCTCGCGGGAGAGGGCGGGAGGCGGTGGCCGCCGCGGAGCCGCGGCTGGGGGCTGGTGCGCGGACGGGTCCCGGGAGCCCGACGGGCCCTGCGGGCAGTGGGCAGCGGGAGCAAGCAGCAGCCGCGAGGCGGCGGAGAGGATGGTGGTGCGGGGCCGAGCGGCCCTCGTGGGGAGCTGGGCCGGCGGCAGGCCCTCAGTCCGTCCGTCCTTGTTTTCCCCCCTCCCCTAGAGGCCGGCGGCTGGCGGGCCGTGCGCTCTGCTCCTCCGCTGGCTCTTGGCCCCGCTCCCGGCCGCCACAGCCTCCTCCGCGCCCCACACCAGGTGCTCGCGCTGTGTCTCCATCCTCCCCGCAGGAGGACCTTTAAGTAGCAACGTCAGCGCGCTCCTCTCCGCACACACGTCACCCGCTGCTCACGTCACCGGGTGCGGGGGATGATGTCACGCGGCCGGAAGTACTGCTAAATTAGGGAAGGAGCAGGGGGAGGAGGACTCGGCGAGCTCCTGTGTGCCCACCTGCTCTCGCTTCTCCTTAAAGGCCAAAGCACAGGAGACAGCCCGAGAGGAGCTCGAACAAGGAAGCGGCGGGAGGAGATTTCCTTGCAACAAATGTGCCAAACCGGAGTGAATCATTCGTAGCAGAAGTGCAGAAGTGTCAAGCGGGTAATATCCTATCTCCCACTCCCACCGCTGTTGCAGCAGCACCCCCGGGCTTCTCCTGTCCTAACTAGCAGGGAAATGTGGGAGGGAGAGCCTGATCACACTACTGGTAGATGTACTTCCAACAAGAACTTCGGAAAAATTACCTCAATTTTCAGTTATTGAGTGCCATTCTGGACGTAGTGGACTTTTAAACTTTTTCTCTTATTGGTTACCTGAAACACGAAAGAATAAAGAGCAGAGCAATAAGCAAACGAAGTAATGTTATAAAGGATAGTAATTTTATTTGCAAAAGAGCAGTTTTGGCATAGGAAAATGAGTCAATCTTAGTTCACTCAGATAATTATCGTCACATGCATAGCAAATGCCAGTGTGTCCTCTCAGTTTCTCTTCATCAAGAATATGAGTTCCGTGACACTTGCCTCCAGACAATAAAACAAGAAAGAGAAAAAAATATATGGGTTTCAGTCTGTGGAATTTAAATTAAAAATTGGAAAGACCACCAAATCCTTTTTCATTAGCACAAGCATATTTTTATCTTCTTTAGTTTTGACCACATAGTATATAATTACAATATCTCTTAAGTGTGTTGTTTTGCATTTTCTGTATGGCAAGGATGAGTAGCTCTCTATAAGTGTGCTAGCTATGTATGTGTTTGTGTCTATAAAACGCCATATTAGGAATGCTTTTTACATTGTAAATTACTACAGCGTTCTTAAATTATTTTAAAATGAATAGGTAAAAACAAAATTTTAAGTTAGGTAAATTCATATAGTGAACTTTGGTTTTATTTTACTTAATCATGGCCAAGAAATAGAATTGATACGTATTGCCAAAGGTCAATACTGTTTCAAGTTAGTCTACAAATTTAGTGACCCTGTTTTCCAAACCAAAATCTAGACACACCATTTGACATTAGAAAAAAAATTTGAATCTGAAGTGACCTGGAAAATCCAGAACATAGGATTACCAGCCTATGAAGTGATTATTAGGAAAGTTATATGTCAATTTCAACGTAGTTTAAATAAAAGAAGGTAAAACTTGTTAGAATGTATACCACGTGTGACTTTTAGAAACTGTAATGTTAAACTACTCACATGGTTCCTATTTAAGGAACATTGGTTTTGCAACTTTCTGTATTTACATTTTCTTGCTCAAGTTAGGAGTCCAAGATTAAAGAACACCACCACCACCAACAAAAAAGACCAATTTGTAACTGTTTCAAATACTCTGGTCATCTTAACATTATACAATTATGATCATGCTTAAAGTTTGAAATATTAAAAGTCTTTTTTTGAGACGGAGTCTCGCTCTGTTGCCCAGGCTGGAGTGCAGTGGTGCTATCTCGGCTCACTGCAACCTCTGCCTCCCAGGTTCAAGCAAGTCTCGTGCCTCGGCTTCCCAAGTAGTTGGAATTGCAGGCGCCCGCTGCCATACCTGGCTAATTTTTGTATTTTTAATAGAGATGGTTTTTCGCCATGTCGGCCAGGCTCGTCTCAAACTCCTGGCCTCAGGTCATCCGCCCACCCCGGCCTCCCAGTGTGCTGGGATTATAGGCATGACCCACAGTGCTCACCCTAGTTTTCATTGTTGTTTTTGTTTTTGTTTTGTTTTGTTTTGTTTTTTGAGGCAGAGTCTCGCTGTGCTGTCCAGGTTGGGTGCAGTGGCACGATCTTGGCTCACTGCACTCTCTGCCTCCTGAGTTCAAGCGATTCTCCTGAGTAGCTGGGACTACAGGCACTTGCCACCACACCCGGCTAATTTTTGTATTTTTGGTAGAGACGGGGTTTCACCATTTTGGCCAGGCTGGTCTCAAACTCCTGACCTCAAGTGATCCGCCTGCCTCGGCCTCCCAAAGTGCTGGGATTACAGGCGTGAGACACTGCGCCGGGTCGCCTCAGGGTTTTTTTTGTTTTCTGTTTTGTTTTTAAGGTTATAACAAAAGGTTAATGAAAGGCAAATCCCTGCTTGCCAATTTGTCTAATGTATATTATTATCATATTAATAGAAACTTGTACCAATTTGTATTTCAGACAAATGGAGCTTCTTATATCTAAAATGTTAAAACAATAAAACTGTCATTCTTCAAATAATGTCATCCCTTGACCCTTGCAAATTAAAATACAAATTATGTTCTTACACTACTAAAATTTCTTTACAATTTCCTACCTAACTAAATAACTTATCTCTTTCCTGCTCTTTCCATGTTAATTAAACCTCTCACTTTACCATTTTCAAACACTATTCTACCCTTTCATCACAACTTCCTCTCATTCACAGTCTTTTTTCCCCTCATCTTTACCCAACTGTCAAAACAGCTTTTCAGTTGCCTTCCTGCCTTTAGAGTGCTGACCCTTTGTTAGTTTCTACTTTTCACAACCGCGTCTTCTTTTCTCAACTGCTCTTTTGTCAACTGAAAATTGAGAACAGCTTTTTTCTACATAAATCAAATGGTGCCCTGTGATATAATGACTCAAAGTTTATGTGATTGTTTAACTTCAGCCTCTTACTCTAGAAAATTTTACCTATGATTGATTAATTATAGGTATCAATTTCTTGCCAGCTTATATGGGATCAGGATCAGTAAGTACATATGTCCATGTAGTCAAAAGAATATGTAAACCTTTGAAACATTTTATGTAATATGGCATGCCTTCTCAGAAAAAATAGCCTTTTCTCCCTGCTTGAAACAATTCCAATACAGTTTTAAGAGGTATCAGAGAGGCATTCTATGGCTTTCCATCTATAAGTAAGTATCTTTTCTCCTAAGATGAGCTGATGTAACCCACATTTTAGTTGTGAATTCCCAACCCTGATTTTTTTGTATGTTTTTTAAAATAGTAAACTTCCTAGAAAGTAATATATTTTCTTTTACCGGAAGAGGAAGAAAGTACTTTAGTAGAGTTTCAAATTTTAACAGTTCCTGTTTCCCACTATGCTCTGAAAATTTGTAGGGCGGTTTATGAATACCCTCTGATTTTAGAATCTGTGGGCGAAGGCATCTGTTTTAGTTACAGAGTTTATTTCCATGCCCTTAATAGGAGATGGCAGTCTTCAATGGGGTGTTCATACATTGGTCATGAGATATGTCTTTTTCAATGAAGGAAGACATCTATGAGATAGAAAACCTTTGCAGGAAAGAGAGTAAAAGCCAGATTTTATTTTTAATTGGCTTACATTAGGTAATAACAACTTCCTTTTAAATGCCCTCTTTTTGATTACCAAAATACCACTGTTAATTCA